TCACTGTTACCACTGGAGTTCCACAAGGATCTATCCTCATCCCCTCCTTTCTTTAATCTCCATGATGTCTGTCAGTGCCATCAGCCAAAAACTGAATGACAAAATTGGGAAGATAAAAGCCGTCCTCTTAAAATTCCTTTTGCAAGCGAGAAACTCCAATTCCTTCTGTGGCTCCATTTCTCTCTATTCATAACCTTCTTATTATACTTGACTCCAAGCTCAGTTTCCAACATCATGTCTCCATCATCAAGAACACCTTCTTCCACTTCCATAGCATTTCTACTTCCATCCCTGTCTGAGCTCATACGCTGCTGAAACCGTCCTTCATACCATTGTTACCCGCAGGACTGATTATTCTCATACTCTACCTGGCTTAAATGGCCTCCATCATACTTTGCCTCCTTTATAAGTTTGAGCTCATCCTAACTTGCGCTATGTCTCACTTACCTATTATTCCTGCACTCACTGACATTCATTGGCTTTAAGCTAGCAACGTCTGATTTTAAAATTACCAATCCAGTTTTCAAATGCTGCCATGATCCACCCTTCCTATTTTGGCATATTGCCACAGTCCAACAACTTTCTGCTGTGTTTTGTTAAAACGTGGAGTCACTTGTACATCTCTGATTTTCATTGCATCACCATTGGTAGCAGTATCTTCTATTCCTTGAGTCTTCAACTCTATAATTTTCTCCTTGTCAAACAAAAAAGAAAGACTTGCAGTTATACAATGACAACCTGGTAGCACAAAACACTTTACAGTCAAGGAGGTACATCTGGAGTTGTTATCACTGTTTTAATATAAATCTTACACAGCAAGCTCCCACAGCGGTATGTGATCTGTTTTTGTAATGTTCTAGTTTCATAGAGTCATACAGCATGGAAACAGACCCTTCAGTCCAGCCAGTCTATGCTGACCATAATCCCAAACCAAACTAGTGTTTATTGAGGGAAACAATTGTGACCATTGACTAATATATTTTGTAAAATAAGCTAACAGCCACAGTGATAAAAATAGGTAACAACTTGATCCAAATGCACTTTGGAGGCTTAAAGTGATTACTTAAAATTTTACCTTAATATAACTGGGGACTTTGTTCAAAACTTTTGAAAAATACTTAACCACTGTTGCCACCATAATATGCTGGGCATGTTAAGAAAGTCCCATTTCAGGTACTTAACTACTGCGCCACCATGATATTTACCATTTCAGGCATGCAGAAAGGAGTGCACATGGTGGGCAGCATGGTGGCTCAGTGGTTAATACTAATGCCTCACAGCACCAGGGACCTGGGTTCAGTTCCAGCCTCAGGTGACTACCTGTGTACAGTTTGCACATTCAGCCCATGTCTGTGTGGGTTTCCTTTGGGTGCTCCGGTTTTTCTGGGTGCTCCGGTTTCCTCCTACAGTCCAAAGATATGCAGATTAGGTGGCATGGCCATGCTAAATAACCCAATGTGTTCAGGGATGTGCAGACATGGTGGGTTAGCCATGGGAAATGTAAGGTTACAGGGGTAGAGTGGGGGAGTGGGTCTGGGTGTGATGCTCTTTGGATTGTTGACGTGAGCCCAATGGGCCGAATGGCCTATTTCCACATTGTGAGGATTCTATGGATGATGTATAGAGCATCAGTGGGAAGGAGGAGCTGGGATAGGACATGAAGTGGAGGATGCTGCTACCTTGAGAGTGAAGAAAGTGGGGTCACAGGCAGGCAGGGCACTGAAGAAGGCTTTTGGAACACAGGCCTTCATCAGTCAGGGCATTGAGTATAGAAATTGGCATTGAGTATAAGAGTTGGGAAGTTATGTTGCAGTTGTACAGGACATTGGTAAGGCTGCACCTGGAGTATTTTGTTCAGTTTTGGTCACCTTGCTATAGGAAGGATGTTATTAAAGTAGACAGAGTGCAGAAGAAATTTACAAGGATGTTGCCAGGACTTAAGGGACTGAGTTATACAGAGAGGGTGGACAAGCTAGGACATTTTCCTTTCGAGCATAGGAGAGTGAGGGGGGATCTTATAGAAGTGGATAAGATCATGAGAGGCATGCATAGGGTGAATGCAATCAGTCTTTTTTCCAGGGTTGGGAAATGGAGGACTAGAGGGCATCAGTTTAAGGTAAGAGGGGAAAGAATACATGGGAAACTGAGGGGCAACTTTTTTACACAGAGGGTGGTATGCATATGGAATGATCTGCCAGTGGAAGTGGTTGAGGCGGGTACATTAACAACATTTAAAAGGCATTTGGATGAATACATAGATAGGAAAGGTTTAGAAGGATATGGGGCAAGTGTAGGGAAATGAGGTTAGTGTGGACAGATATTTTGGTCATCATGGACCAGTTTGGTCTGAAGGGCCTGTCTCCGTGCTGTAGGTCTCTGTGACTCTATGACTCTAATGAGAAATCTGGGTGGACGTGATTGAAGCTGGATTACAGATGTAGACTTTAAAGTGGATCTTAAAGCAGGAAAGAGTATTGGGGTGGTAGATAGTTGGAGAGAAGAGAGAAGTCTAGAGCCATGGTGAAATGGTTGGCAATCACTGTCAAGGTGAATGAAATATGTGATGAACACAAGGCCAGAGTCAGAGGAATGCAAAGCTTCCTACTGGATTGTAGTGCTGGAGAAAGTTACAGAGATAAGACAGAGTGAGGTCACAAAGGTATTTGAGCACATGTTTGAGAAAAATATCGTAGACTGCAAGAGCATTCTAGGTCAGTGAACAAGGGGCAGCTGAGTGAACAGTGCCGGTAGGATATCGCTGCAGAATTTGAAAGAACTCACATTTACGGAGGGCGGAGGATGGGAGAGTGTTGAAATGATTGAGTCTGAAGATGACAAAGGCATGAGGATAAGCAGAGATAGGGAGGAGGCAGGAGATATTATGGAGATGAAAGTATATCACTTTTGTGGTGGAGAAGATGTGGAATAGGGGACATAATTTAGGGTTAAATAGGTCGAAGAGACTGTGAACAGACTAGTCCAGCCTCAAGCAGCTGTCAGGAATTGATTGCACGGAATAGAGCTTATGCCCAAAGCTAGAGGCAAGAGTTTTGAACATTTAACTGGAAATATACATGTACTGGCATTGAGAATGGTGCCCAATATTGTCAGGCTTTACTCAGCATTGACAACGTCCTGATGCTGAGGTTTGGAGTAACGCAGTTCACCCTGGAGCAGATGGTAGCTCCAGAATGTCCACTTGTCCAAACATCTAATGTGAAACTTGAACTAGGAAGGCAAACACATCTAAAAGGAAAGGTCTGCTGTCACCCTGAAGCCAGGAGCAACAATGTATCATTACCACGGGAGCAATAAATATCACTAATGGATATTTTCCCATGTGATTGAGGGAAGGAATATTGACATGAGGCAGAGAAGTGCTGGAACATGGGAAGATGCAGCACTCTGTGATTATTGGTTGAGTATTGGAGAGCATAACTTAGGGATAATTAGATCGATTCGAATGCAAAAGCTTTTGACAGATTTTAAGCAGACTGGACTGAGGCAAACTGTCAGCTCCAGTAATTCCAGCCAAGCAGAGCGGAAACTAACTTGATAGTTGTAGCTAGACTTCTGAAAAAAAATATCGTGGATTCTTCCCAGAGCACCGGGAAACTGTCTTAAATGATTGATAACAGTTCGAAAAAATGCTCGTGTCGTTTCTAAATATTCTGGTTAACCAACATGGGGGAAAAGTTACGGCAGCATTTTCCGGTAGATTACATTGACATTATAATTAAATATTAACATTAAAATGAAAGTGAAAATACCTTTATTTAAAACGTCAGTCTTGCTCAGTTGACAGATTCGTTCACTTTGAAACATAGACTTTGAAAGTGGTAAACAATTTTGTTACAACAAAAAAAACTGAAAACTGCGGATGCTGGAAATCAGAAACAAAAACAGAAATTGCTGGAAAAACTCAGCAGGTCTGGCAGCATCTGTGGAGAAACATCAGAGTTAACATTTCCGGTCCGATGACCCTTCTTCAGAACGGATTTTGTTACATTTTTGTTACATTGTTTGAATTCAAAGGGACTGCAACTCTTGCGTTGGAAAGACAACTGCACAATAGAGAAAAAAAAAGCCAGAATCTATCTGTAATCAAATTGTTTGTAAATAAATTTCCTTGGCGTGGGCAGGTTTACTTTACATGGACTGTCCGTCTTTACTTAAATGAAGTTTTAGCATGTGAGTCACAATAAATGCAAATCGGACCGTACAATGTTTATGGTGCTTGTATTTTATGGGTGGGGAGGTTAACTGACATTTTATGTTTTTGTTTAAAATGAGACCCCTTCACTCCACACATTTTTTGAGTCAAAGGTAGATTCCGATCATTTGATCTGACTCCATAGTTCTCTGATCTTATCTTCATCCTGTTCGGATATCCTGAAGCTGCTAACTTGTATGCTCAACCTATTTTCTACATGGCTGTTGTGGAAATGATCAAGATTAAGCCTAAGTCTCTATAGCAACCCCTCTCCACCCCCAATCTCCTACAAACCTTCAATACACCCCTTCCTGGCACGCAGGCCATCAAAATAAGTTTTATGGATGAACTCTGGTCTGCACACTTTGCTGCAAAAAGACGTCGACTCAACCTGTAAGGTCAGTACAAATTGTTCCGGCTTTCATGCTTGGGTAAATTAATGCAAATTCTCAGATTTGAACTCACAAGTTCACCATTAGGAAAGATGCGTGCGCTTAGTTAGAAATGCGAGAGTGAATGCCCCGATTTGATATTGTCTGCATACAGTTGTGGTTCTTGGAGTACTGTAAAGATTAAAATGGCCAGTTTGCGCTACATTGACACTTCTGGGAAGAAAAAAAAATCCTCTTTCGCATTTGATCAAAACTCGCAAGCAATGTGAAAGAGTTCTGGGAATACCATGGCAACAAGCGAGGTAATAAATGACCCCACCTCCCCTCAATACAGTACTAAGATTTTTTTTGTTGTGTGTAGGTTTTGAATGTGTCAGTCACACAGGTGAGGGGGGAGGGGGTGAGGAGAAGAATCTTTTCTGGTTGTAAGCCTTAGTTAGCCTTTTGATCTTTCCTTCTTATTTGGCTGGGGAAGCAAAAATTGTTCCTTGGCGATTGGTCAGACTAATCCTCCAGAGCACTGTCAGCCGTTAACCATGTGAACAGATTAGACCGTGGTTCTGCTGGACAGGCTCCAACTGGGGATTGTGTTGCTGTTCTCTCGCCGCTGGCCTCCTGCAGTGTTCAGGAGTTTTAAATCGAATGTAGCCTTCGGCGTTTGGGTCAGAGGGAGAGAGACAGAAAGAGAAGGCAGGAGGGCAAATTACAGACAAAAAAAAACAAATCTTCAACATTTTGCTCACAAGCAGACTGAAGAATGTGGAGAAATAAGCATAAAGGACTAAAAGATTCTGACTCGGAGGATGACAAGCCGCAAGAAGTGTCGAAGGTACGATCCCCATTAATTCCGAGCAGATATCTTTTATTTCAGTAGCTGCGAGAGGAGGTCCAAATGCTTTGCTCCACTCGCTGAGGTTTCTCTCGCACACGCCAGGCTCCCCAGCCCGTTATGTCCGACGCAAAAGGGTGTATGCTGTCTGTAAGTGTCCCTTTAACTTCACGTAACCTGGCCTTCCGCCGGGAGTATGTTTTATTGACGTTTCTTTAATGACAGTAAAGGATGGCGGATTCTTTTTAGGCCGAATTGAGCGCGGATCAAAGCCATTGGACTCTTCTCAGGCTGGGATGGCTTTGATGTGTTCACCCCGGGGATAAGCTGCACTCGCCTGCCGGCGATGGGGCTGCTGGAGAGCAGCTCAAGTGCAGGCGAGACTGCTACAGCGTATCTCTCAGCGAGGGAGCCCACTGCAGTTTTCACTATCCCCGCTCTCTCACTGAGATGGGATGTTGGGGTGGGGGGTGGCGAACCAGAGCTGGCTACAGGGGGAGGGGAACAAATCTGGAGCGGGTAGGAATTGGAGAAATGTTTTCTTCCTTTCTAACGTGTGCCACAGCGTGCGAAGGTTTTTAAACGCCCGTTTCCTCAGGGTGCAGGAACCATCTAGGCGATTATCTTTCAGATACCACACAAGCTAATGATAGCGTCTGTACTTTCACGTTGCCTCAACGGTGCACCTTAAAATGAAGAGTAAACTGTATCAGAACAAAGGTTTCTCGTGGTTGGCGCTATACTGCATTGCCTTTTAAGGTCTGAGTTCAGAGGATTTTAAGTTCTCATGAGATTGCATTGCCTTCTATCTGAGCAGTAACATATTTGGAATGTCTGTTTCATGACTTGTTTCAGAGCAAGGACCCGTTGCTTCCAGAAGAGACTACAAGTTCTGTGTCTCAGCTTGCTACGAAGGTAGGTGTCTGTTTTCACTCAGATTCCCCAGTCTGCTTTGATGGATTGCACTGAAAATTTCCACACTTTTTTTTACAAAATGTTTATGCTTTTGTTTATTTTTTTCTTTCTGATGAGGCTACTATATTAATCAATAATTGATCAATACATGCAACAATGCTGCTTTTGTCCAGTTAAATGTGCTTTTGATGGGAACAATATTATAAATCAATAATGATTGGAGCAATATCATAAATTAATAATAGAATGGATCAACTGTGGCCAAAAGACACCCTGCTAAAATATTATTATGCTTTTTGCATAAGCATTTGTCATTGTACAGGAATTGACTGCTAGTTCATTTACATTGATTTTCGAGCATTGTATATCACTGTCCATATTTAGTGATGATTCTGAATGGGACAGTCACTTTCTGGGTGAAAGTCAATGGGATATATCAGCTCTAATGAAATCTTGAATATCTTTTTTCCACCACCCATGATAGAGAGAATTTCCTGATGTTTCTATATTTGTAAATTTATACACTATTGTTTGGAGAAATGTGGTTTGGCCCACTACGTGTACATTTGCTGTCTGATAACTCACTCATGCATCTTGTAGATACATTTCTTTCAGTTCAGTTCAGCTCAGCTATCGTATCGTATGCCCCTCCTTTTCGGGAAAGAATTTTATCCGCTTGAGTGGATGTTGAGAATGAGAAATAGAATACTATTTCCAATTTTTGTCACGCAATCTAGATCAGGTAAATTGTACTCCAAGTGCAGAGGGAAACTGTTGCTGATTTGTCCCAGTAACAAGTCTTGTATTCAATTTCAAAACTGCACCTATTTCAGACTACCATCCTGAGAATTTTAATTTCCCAAAATGCCCACTTGTGTATTTTCTTGTAAGGATGGCTCCTCATATTCTGGGACCTTTGGCAAAAACACACAAGATGATGGGAAAGTGAGGTAGATCCCATTTCCATTAGGATCCTGTCACCTTTCTACAGCTGAATCAGTTCCAGTTTTAGGGTGTTGGACCTCTTCCAAATGAATGGGGGACCTCTGGAAGTATTTCTGGGAGAGCTGGTGTGAGTCCAGCTGAGATTCCATGGTAGGACTCCAAAGTCTTGCAGAAATAGATATTGGAAAGAATTGATCATCTTCACACACTGCCCCTAGGAGCCAAGTATTTAATAATATTTACACTTTTGTTGTCTCTTCCCTAGCTGACTGATGACATACTTTGATATTTGTTGTCAAGTCTTTGAACTGGATGCAGTTGATGTGTTTTTACGCATGATGACCCCATTCTCATGAATTGAAATGGATCCCAGCACTCTAGACATGGGTGGACTGAAGATATTCTCTACCACTTTTCTGTGGGAACATATTAAAATTTGGGCCAATAGTCCTTCAGCTACGGCTTCTGATCCTTCTAAATTAGTTGCAACCTGAAGGTGACTCCTTAACAGCCACCTGTGGTTTGATTGCATCTCAATGGGATTCAAATCGAGCTCTGATTTGAAAGGTTCAGGATGAGAAACACTTTACACTTGCATTGCCTATACTAGAGTTTTTTTTGTGATAACTTGCATAATACTTGTCCGTCTCTTTAACTAATTATAGAATCATAAAATGATACAGGATAGAAGTGGTCATTTGGTCCATCATACTTGGATCAGCTCTTTAAAACAGGTATCCAATTAATTTCACTTTGTTGTTCTTTCTTCATAGCCCTACACCTTATTAGAGAGTTATTCAGATTCTTTTTGAGAAGTTAATCTAACCATATTATCTCTCAGGCAGTGGTTTTCAGATTAAAGGTGGTGTGAAACACTTTGACTCATGTTGCCGCTGATTCATTTGCCAATTTCTTTAAATCTTCCCTCAGATTCCAGACTCTGCTGCAAACTGTTATGACCAAATGAATTTATTCCCCTTATTTGTTAACCCTTTCACAACTGACATATTGTGGCTGCAATGTGTCATACCTACAAGACACACTACAGAACTCTCAATGGCCCCTTCCAGACTTTCAAATGCCTACCTTTTATAAAGACAAAGACAAGAGAAAAATGGAAGGGATTATGTAGGCAGTTATGTTTCCAAGTTCCCATCAGGGCAGTACAGTGGCTCAGTGGTCAGCACCATTGCCTTGTAACACCGGGTTCGATTCCAGCCTAGGTGATTGTCTGTGTAAGGTTTGCATGTTCTCTCCATGTCTGTGTGAGTTTCATCTGAGTGCTCTGGTTTCCTCCCGCTGTCCAAAGGTGTGCAGGTTAGGTGGATTAGCCATGGTAAATTACCCCGTAGTGTCCAGGGATGTGCATGCTAGGTGAATTAGCCATGGGAAATATGGGTTATGGCGATAGGATTAGGGTCTAGGTCTGGGTGGGATGCCCTTCAGGGGGCCAAGTGGCCTCTTTCTGCCCTTTAAGGATTCTAAGTTTTTCGACATCCTGACTTGGGATTATATTGCTGTTCCTTCTTCGTCACATGGTCAAATCTTGTAATTCTCTAATATTCATGCAGGTGTATTTATTTCACATTCACTCCACTGGTTTAAGAACGCAGCTCATGAATACCTTCTAGAGGATAATTTGAGATGGTCAGTGATGTCAATATCCTATGAATTGAAAACAAAATCTCTGTCTGAATTAACAAACCAAGGATCCTATGTGCATTTTTTTCAAACAGTCTTTTCAACTTATCCTGGGCCTTCAATGATTTGTGCATGGTCTTCTGCTGTTTCTGTAGTCCCATTAAAATTCTGGAATTTAATTCTTAATGTCTTAATTTTCTCCTCTTTCTTACCACTAAAATGAATCCTTTTATATATCTTTGTTAATTTAATGTGGGTTTTCCCATTTCCTCAATTTGTCCATGCCCTGCTGATGTTTGTTATTAAGGTTCTCCACCTTGCTGAATATATTGTCATCTAATAGATTTGAAATTATGTTCCACACATCCTATTTCAGGTTATTAATATAATCAGTGAGAACACTACTTGATATTAGAATCTATCACTCATATTCTCTCTATCCCAAATTCAGTTCACCAGCTATAAATGATCAGGGACTGAACCTATAATGTGAAGAATTTATGTTGGTCCCTTTCATGTATCCCATTTGAAGAATTATGGTAGTCTAAACCCATAGGGACAAGTTTTTTCTGTTCTGTAATGAAATTGTAAACCTGACAAAGAATGGCTTTAAAATAAGAGCATGAAGAACAAGAAGGAACTTTGGAAATATCAGCTCAGGTCACTGGTTAGATCCCAGTTAGAGCAGTTTGTGCAATTTCAAGATGCCATTACAGAATGGGTCCTGACCAGAGAGTGTAGAGCCATCAAGATCACGATAAAAGAATGTAGTTATTATTTCCACTGCAGGAGTGGAAGCCAACAGGGAATGGGATTGAGGTTTTAAAACTAAATGCTTTTTAAATTTTGGAAATGAAATTAGTCTTTGGAATTAAGGCAAAACAGACTGTCAAGAACCTGTATGCTATGGGCTGTTGATCACCATTTGCTAATTTATACTACCGTCAACAACCAGTTTCATCTCTTATTTTAAACTTCCTAATCATTTAAAACATACACTAAATGAGAAGAGAACATGGGAAACATCTCTTTACACAGTCAAATTGCTTGCATTTCCACAGGGAGTACTGGGCATAGAAACATGGAAAATAGGAGTAGGCCATTCGTCCTTTTGAGACTGCTCTGCCATTCAGTACGATCATGGCTGATCATCCAACTCAGTATCCTGTTCTGCATTCTTCCCGTATCGTTTGATCCCTAAGAACAATATATAACTGCGTGAAAACATTCGATGTTTTGACCTCAGTGCTTTCTGTGGCAGAAAATTCCACAGGCTTACCACTGTTTGGGTGAAGAAATTTCTCCGCATTTCAATCTGAAATGACCAACCCTATATCCTTATGGTTCTGGACTCCCCGGTGATCCAGAACGTACATCCTGTGTTTATCCTGTCTAATCTAATTATAATTTTATGGATTTCTGTAATATCCAAACTCCAGTGAATATAATCCTAAGTGATCCATCTTTCTTCATTCCAAAGTCCTTCTTTCTCAGGAATCAGTCTGATAAATCATTGTTACACTCCCTTCATATCCAGAGTACCCATCCTCAGACAAAGAGACCAAAACTGTACACAACTCTCCAGGTCCGAGCTCACCAAGACCCTGTACAATTGCAGCAAGATGTCCCTGCTTCTGTACTCTAACTTCTTACTATGAAGGCCAAAATACCATTAGCCTTCTTCACCACTGCCATCCTTACTTTTAGCAACTCAGGACACTCAGGACTTGTTGCACATTCCACTTTCCTTATTTATTGCCGTTCAGATAATCTACTCCCCGTCTTTGCTGCCATCCTCACATTTACCCACATTATACTTCATCTGCCATTCATTTGCCCACTCATTCAACTTGTTCAAATCACACTGAAGCATCTCTGCATCCTCCTCACAGCTCATCCTCCCACACAGCTTTATGTCATCTGCAAAGGTCATTGATCCTTTTGGAGCAGATTGAACACATGTTTGAGGCAGATGAAAGGCAATGGAGAGTGAGTATGCTTGTTGGGTTAGCTTTGGATTGTGTTAGCAAAAGGTTGGGAGAAACATGATGGAATCAAATGACTTCTTTGTGGTAAACTTCTGACTTAATTAAAAATACACACCGAGAAAGTCTTTACACCATATGACTCTGAAGTTTAATAAATAGGGTTATTACATTACTAAACTAAATTATACTATAAATTATTGCAAACATTAAAATATTGTTTAGTTTCATGGTGGTATTGAATTAATCAATGTTGCAGTTTATATACATATGTGTTTATACATTTCTAAGCCGTACAAATATTTTGTTTCTTTACAACATTGATTTTTATTCACTAATGGGATGTGGGAGTCACTGGCTAGGCGAGCATTTATTAATTGACCTCGAGAAGGTGATGGTGAGCTACCTTCTTGAACAGCTGTAGCTCAG